ATTCCCCACCTTGAGAGGCCGTGGCCACTGGATTCCAGGCAGAGAAAGCATCTTTGAAGGGCTGAGGAGGTGGTGGACTTCATCCAAACACCTCAGGCCACATTGCAGGAGCCACATAACCATCATCGACAGCCCAGGAAAGGTCCCCCCTGGTCTAGGTACCAGGTACCTGAGGATACCACAGAGCCCAGGGAAGATGACTGATTTATTTCACTTAGGAGTATAGACTTATGTCACATCTACTTACCTGTAAATGTTTCAAGTTTATCCTTCTTTATAACTGAGTAGTACTCCATTGTATAAAAATACCACAAATTTTTTAATCCATCCCTTGGTTTTATGAATATTTTTGAACAAATTTTAAATGAATGACTTTGTTAGATGTCTTCCCTGGTCCCTCCAACAAAATCTTGCCAGTTTTCTACCAATAATATACAAATGATGAGCATTTTTCTATGATGACTTTGTTTTATGAGGGTGGTCTTTTGTTTTTAAATTTTTTTTGAACTAGTGAGATTTACTGTGTGTATTTTATACAGAATTGCATTATGAACATGCTTTTGTGTTTTTTTCCGCAGTCTTTATGTGCCGTGTCAGTTCTTTTTATATTATATAAATGTTCTTTGAAAATACTTATTGGAAGAATAAGGCAGTAGACAATCAGTGGTTGTCATTTTGGTCTAGCAAAAAACTTATTTTGCATAAGCGTATGGTTAGATCATTTTATGCATATGAAGTCTGGATTAAACATCAGGTATTGTTTATTCACTGCATGTACATTTACTTTATAAGTTTGTTTTATTTTGACTTTAATCATGTAGAATACTGCCTTGGTCATCATAATGTAATCTGTTTTTATGAACTGTCTTTTTTGACATTCAAAATCTTTAAATAAAACACTTAAAACCCATCAAAATAAACTTAATATTACCTATAGATACATGTATTTTAGTTTACTTTCCTTACTAGTGGATGTTTGGTTTGTTTCCAATTTTTTGTCATGAATATGGAACGAACATTTTGCATTCTGATTACTTTCTTTTGCTGGCTCTCTGAAATAGACTCAATAAGATAAAGTATATAAATACTCTGGTACTTCTAATTTTTATTTTAACTAGCGTGATTTACTAGGAATAATATTTGTCACACTTGATGGATACATTTTTAGTTTCTATTTATGCTGAACATTAATATTATTACATTATTATGTTAAATTTTTCTGTTCATACTTTTTTTTTACAGTTATGTTTCAGTTATTATTTACTGAAAATCAAGGATTTTCCCGTGTTTTATTAAGTGTCTCTTGTGTGCATCATTCTTAGTGTTGCCCCGTGAAGCTTCCATCTCCAGGGAAACCTTGTGGTTTTTCCACCCCTTTTTCCCTTCTGGCCCTGGGGGGAATTGAAGCCAGGCTGTCAGCACAAGCACCAAGCTATAAGCACAGCCCTTTGTAATTCTGACACAGGGACTCAGCACGTCATTACTTTGCCTCCACTGGGCTTGAACTTTATCTCCGCCTGCCTCAGCCTCCCCGAATGCTGGTGACTGCAGGCACATGCCACCACACCCGGCTTCTTCCACTACTTTTACGCTTAGAAAAGCTTCCTCGTTTGGAAATCCACCGAACAGTCTCCTAAACACTTTTTCTTTTTTTAAAATATTAATGGCCCTCTTCCTAATTAGAAGGAAAGCAAAATAGGTGTGGTTTCTGTGCTCACTGAACTTAGGGGCTCCAGAGGGTGCGTGGCTGTGTAGGTATAAAAATACCGTGCTCTTGTTGGTGGGGTAATGCTTGACACCTAACCATTTTTAGTATTGTGTGCAGAATCATGTGTAGGTGGTACGATTTCATTAGCCTCTAAACAGCCATAAATAGAACGCTAAACATTAGAAGCCTTATCAGGATTTTTAATATAAACTCACATTTATTTTCTATAAACTCATAAACTGTATTAAGAAGAAAAAAAAAGATCTTTAGAACAAACAAAAATAGTTCTGTGCTTTTTAGGATATGTAAAGTTTTCTGTAAAATTACATTTTTCTCTTTCACCAGCTGGTGCATTCCTTAAACGTTCTTCCAGAGTTGAGCTTGTTACACATTGTGATAGTCCGGGTCTCTAAAGGGGAATTGGTATTGGCTCAGTCAGATTGTGATAGTCCGGGTCTCTAAAGGGGAATTGGTATTGGCTCAATGTATTTTGAAAGGTTGCCCCCACTAGGTCTTTGAATCTCATTCTAAGTGAAATCCTCACAATATCTTTTGTGAAATGATGTCGCGTTACAGTCTGACAAGTGGAAAATTCTTTTCTCACAATTCTTCCAACATCTGATAGCCGACGTGTGTAATCTGGAAGTCCTTGGTGCTTCACTTGCGTCTGGAGGTGAGAAGACAAGAAATGTGTGTTATTTTATAGCAGTGCGTGTTAGCGGGTGAGGGTATCCATGCTCCGGGACCTGCAGTAGACTGAAACATAGAACATGTAGGTTGAAAGTGAGTGATACATTTTTTCCTGCAGTGCTGGGGATCGAGCACAGGGCCACGTGCGTGCTAAGCTACCACTGAGCACACCCCCAGCCGCTAGCCAGTGTATCGTTAAAAGCAAGGCTGTTCGCAGTCGTCTTGGCTGGTAGCAGTTTCGAGAAGGTAGTGTAAAGGGCAGTGGTCTATAATGTCGAAAATCCTGTTTTAACATCTTTGGCAGTAGCTTTATTGAGACGATTACAAGAAACAGAAATTATGGTACATTCACGGTGCCCAACGTGTAGCAAATGTATTCCTATTATTATTGTAATAGGATATGATACAGGATATGATACAGGATCCCTTTGTTTTCCAGTCAGTCACATTGTATGCACAGTGTGGCAGCTTTCTGAAGTTACGTGTGATCCGCATGGTTGGCAGGTTCCAGGTTGATAAAGCCGACTGCTTGCTAAAGTTAGCGTGTGACCCCCGTGACAGGCCCCGTGGCCCTCCGAGCATTCATAGTGCAGCACAGTGCGGAGTTCGAGCCGTTGATGGGGACATTCTCAGCGAGGTGACACCAGGCTGTGTTTTGCCTGCTTGTGTTCCACACTGTAAACAGGCGTCCTTTACATAGTCTGCTTAGTGCCATGCGGTTTGCATTTCTTTCCTGTTGTGCTGTTTTCATGTTACTTTGCTGTGAAGTGCTGTGAAGCTGGAGTGCTGGGCCGGGTCTTCAGCCTAAGAGGCTGTGACGTGCCTGTGGGGAAAAAGCCTACGCTGCACCCGCTTCCTTCCGGCGGGGAGAACTGTGCTGTTGGCTGCACGCTCAGTGCTCAGTGCAAGCCCAGAGAACCCGCGTGTGACCCTGCTCTGTGCAGCTGGGGGCTCCTCTGAAGCAGCCGCTGAAGGCCTTGTGGACCACTGTAAGGCTGCGGGCCCTCTTGCACGAGCAGTGAGAGTCGCTGAATTGTTTCAGGACGGGGGAAGCGGCGCGTAGCTTTGCTGACACCCCGGCTGTAGTGAGGAGAGTGGATTGAGGGGAGTGCTGGGCTTGAAGCATCGTCATGCTCGCAGCGGACTCAGGCTTAGCAGCGTACAGGGCGCAGCTTTGTCTCCTTTAATCCTCGCAGCAAGAGAGTGCTGGACACGTCCTCCTTTCCCCGTGTGGCAGGGAGGGATTTACTAGTTAAATGACTCTCCTGGTACGATATATCCGATTAGTAGCCAAACGGATGCATCAGGAAAGGTAGTATTTTAAAAGTTGGGTGCCTGGCACATAGTAAACGTAGTATTTGATTATTCTTATATTGTGTTCTTTCCCCTGCCCGTTCAATACATTTTTGAAAAAAGGTTATTAAAGTATAATATGTAAAGTTTATAGATACAAGCCTCTGTGACACCCAACCGCCCACTCTTTGTTTAGCTAATCTAAGAAGTCTTAGCGATCCGTGGGGTTGTCTTAGACCACTAAGTGACACGTGTCGTGACGAAAAGTGTTGCCCCTGGACAGCACTGGTGGGCAAAGCGTGGACAAGGGAGCCACAGTGTGAGCTGGAGTTACGAGAAGCGTAGCTTCATTTGTGACCAGACTGCTGCAGAATGTGGGCACCTTTCTCTATGCATGAAGCAGATACCCATTTCCACTTTACTCTTGTGTGTGTAGTAAGTGGGTTTGGGGGTGTCAAGGGTACTGCAACGGCAAGCAGTGTTAGTTGTCGGTCTTCTTGTTTCTCTTCAAGACATGACTTTTGTCCTCTGCTCCCCTGCCCGGGGCGGGGGGTCACCTGTCATATTCTATCATAATGAGAAATTGACAGATACACTGAAAGCAGGTCTTTTCCAGAAAATTAACATGGGTGCTTTTTAACCCTCTGTCCTGTGCTATCTCTGTCCAAGCCTATGTCTGTCGTAGAGCATAGTGACTGGTGGACTTAATACTGATTCTGTATTGTGATTATACTCAGTACTGATTTTAAGCAAGCCAAAAGTACTGGTTTGTTTGTTTGTGGTACTGAGGATTGAACCTAGGATAGAACCTCTGAGCATGCGAAGCAAGCACTCTACCACCGAGCTACACTCCCAGCCTTGTGAAGTACTGTTTTTTTTTTTTTTTTTTTTTCTGGTACTGGGAATCGAACTCATGACCTTGCGCTTGCCAGGCAGGTGCTGTGCTGCTGAGCTAAATCCCCAGCCCCAAGTACTGGTAATAAGTTGGTACTGACCACCCAGAAAACTATGACCTAGAGGACGGGGCTGTGAGGTATCAAGGTAGGAGATGATCCCTCACTCTTCCCCCTAACTCCAAAATTAGAACAACAGTTGGCTTTATCATTAGGAATTCAAAAGAGAATATACTTGAGTATTTGAATTCTGTGATTCAGAGAGAATAATGTAACAAAGGTGCATGTGTTGGTTTACTTCTGTTGTAACTTTTCTTCGAAAATCCTTTGGCAGTTTGATATTTGAACTTTTTGCTTATGAACAGCGTGAGTTCAGAGTAATTGCAGCATTTTTACCATGTCTCTTCCTTCTGCAGGGTTATTGAGCAGCTCGGCGGGAAGCAGCTGGTAATGAACCACATGCATCATGAAGACCAGCAGGTCCGCTACAACGCGCTGCTGGCTGTGCAGAAGCTCATGGTGCACAACTGGTATGCTCAGCTTTTCACGCTTGCCCTGCACTGACCTCGGGGCTCTCGTTTGCCCGTCCCAGATGTTCTCATGTACATGCTCTTGACAAGGGCTGTTAAAATCACTGAACGTATTTTACCAGTTTAGAGCAGAGACATAATTTTGAAAAGATGAGCTATACTAATGGTCTTAAGGAAGGTATATTGAAAGTACCAGTATCACAAACAATTCCAGAAGGTAACTAAAAAGACCATTGTTTTTTTTCTGGTACCGGGATTCGAACTCACGACCTTGCACTTGCCAGGCAGACGTTGTGTCGCTGAGCTAAACCCCCAGGCCCCTAAAAAGACCATTGTGACATAAATGAATTAATCTTTTTTCAAACTGAATAGAATATACTTAGATGACTGATGATGCTATAGTTTTTCAAGATTTAACTATTCAACATATGGTTCACCTGAATGTATTTTATCAGTTCACATAAAAACAGTAAAAGCTGACTGATTAGAGCACATTTAATGCTCAGATTTCATTTATTACAGTCTTTTGCTTTTGAAGTAGCCAAAGTCATGACTTTTATCTTGTCTGTTCTAATTTTAAAATCAAGATTATTGGCCTTTTTGTACCGCCTAAAATAAAGATAACCTGCTTAGACATAAGCAGGTTTGATTGCTTGTGTACAAAATAGAAGAGATGAGGGTTTCCTTTGGCATTCCTTTTTGGGTGTAGGTTGACTGTTTAATGCTCTGCGGAGAAGTATTCCCACCCTACTGAAAGATGCTGGAGGTTTATACAGTTTTTGTAGAGACACGCTGAACAGGTATACAGTGTCCATAAAATGATAATGCCTCCAGTGCTCCACAAGAAAAAAATGATTGGTGCTTTAGATTGGGCACATTTCAAGATACAGACAAACGCAGTGAGTAAGGATACCTAGGAGGATTGCTGTGGTCTCATATATTGAGTTTTATGGTCCTGCCACTTAAGTACATTTCTCATAAATACTCATATTTATATGTTCTCATACTTGCTTTGTAGTCTGTTACGGTAAGTGCTGGGCTAGAGATAGAAGGACGCGGGTACAACTTTACGTAAGATGATTGGGGGTGGCCGCTCTGAGTAGGCCGAAACAGTTATGCCGAGACTTTATTGATGAGGAACCAGCCGCATGGCTTAGTTACTGGGCCTGATCAGCCTTTCAAATGGCATGAGGGAGAGGAAGGAATGAGGAAACAGGAAACCGAGATGAGCTTGGCTCGTTTAAAGCGATGCGTGGGTATGCATTTGCTTGTGACCCTGGTGGCTAATGCTGTAGCCTACGGTTGGTTAGAGACCCGCGGTGCTCGTAAACATGCCGCAGTGCACAGACGTCCCCACATTTAGGAACTGTCTAGTCCTGTTTGTCGGTGCTAAGGTTGAGAAGCTAATTTCAAGAGACAGCACAAGGCTGTTAGCAGCAGCCCTGGAAGCTGCTCCAGATCCATCTGCTTTCATCTCAACTGTCAGTGTCTAGGCCCGGTCCACCAGCCCTCTTACCGCTGTGAGAACCTACCAAGACGGTCTTCTTATTTCAGACTGCTTATCCCATTGGGTGGAAGATTACTGTCATTCCCATGTTATCTCTGTATCATGACTTTTACATTTCCGTAGCTCTTGTAACACAGAGTGAAAATTCTTCAAGTAATAGCAATTAGTTCAACATCAAGTCAATATGAGGTTAGATGGGTTATCACGTGGGAAGTAAACCCTGTGCAGAGTGTATCCCCAAGTGCAAAAGAGGTTTGCGTCCATGTCTTTACGGAACATCTCTTGCACCCTCGTCACTTTACTGAACTATGGTAATAAACGGTCTTCTGCTTTTAGTTTCTGAGCTGCTGATGGTCTGTCTATATTTACTGCTTAAAGTTTATAAAATTCTCTTGAAGTTGTTTACTTGCACACAAAGTGAAGTCTTGAAAACATAGTTGACCGTCTCAGCGTTTTGATTTAAATCAGAATGAGTTGTTATAGATGATATATTTTAGTATTCCTCGGAAAGATGTTTATAAATAATTAACATGTAATTGTGGATGAAGACGAAGTCTGCCTACCAGGCAGCGGCCCTTTCTGCGTAGCCCTGGGTCTTAGAATCGCTGCTGTATCTCCCGTCCCACCTGACATCTGCGCTGACATGGGCTGATGGGTTATGAACGTCCCTAACTGAGTGCGGGCAGTTGGGGCGGGAATAGAGTTGCCGCTGCACTGGGGGAAGGAGAGGATGTTTGGCACAGACTTGGGGCCCCCTCATCTCAGGAAGCCAGGAGCAAGGACTGGGTCACAGGTCTCCTGCGGGGTAACAATATGAAGCTCTCTGATTTTTCTTTTTTCTGTATTGTTTTCCTGATGCATTCCTTGTTTTTTTTTTTTTTTTTTTTTGTCTTTTTGACACAGGATCTTGCTCTGCAGTTCAGGTTGGCCTGGAGCTCACTTTGTAGCCCAGGATGGTCTCAAACTTGCAACGATCCTCCTGCCTCAGCCTCTTGAATGCTGGGCTTACAGGCGTGCACCACCATGCCTGGCTACATTCCTTGTTCTTTTCAGCAGTGCTGGATTTCTATATTCATAAACTTGACAAAATATATAAATGGCCATTTATTCTGGAGAACTTTTGTATATATGCCCATTTCATACTTTACAATTTAACACCATGAAATGTCATCATTTTTCTCTTACAGAACGATTTTAAATGTAATCAGCCTCTAATTCAGCAGCAGCGCAGTGTGCATGTGGACAGCTCAGGACTTCAGACCAGGAGCACTGACTTTGTAGATAATCTCTTGGGACATTCTCTGTCTGTGTTTCGACACTCTATTTGAACCTTAAGCAAAATAAGTTATGAGTATAAACCTCCTTAGATATTCTGTATATGGGAAAATTCATATAACAGAAATTCACCAGGCCAAGGGTATGGCTAATATTGCTGTGCTTTCCTGTATTTGTATCTAGTACTTTAGTTACTCTGTATGTGGCTGTAAACAGTGATTGAAACTGTTACTTATGAACAGAAGAGAAAAACCTTTGATGTGTTTTAAACTTTCAGTATTCATATTCTTATAACAGATTCCATGATTTTAATAAACATAACGCTTTTAAGACTTAACATTTTCCAGAATTAATTTAGAAAATTATAATTTCTTTCTGGGTGCCTGGAATTTTCCACGTTATTCTTATGACATGTTCAGTGAAGGAAGTTTTGCAAGTATATCATATGTTTTGTGTATCTTACTGAAAAGCAAATGTAACTGGATTTTTTACATCCATCCATTTAGCTTACAGATAGGGGTGTAACTCAGTGGTAGAGTACTTGCCGAGTGGTCTCCAGACTACAGGAACTGATGGATAATTCCAGAGAGAGGGGGCGGGAGAGAGAGAGAGAGAGAGAAAGTCAAAACCAAGTCCAAGTAAGGAGGGATTTTTTTTTTAATAGAGCTGTATTCTCACCATCAGTTAACCCGTTCATAGCCTCCCAGTCTAAGGTTCTGCTTTACCAGTTAGGCATGTTTCTTGAGACTGTCCTGTTTATTTTTCTGGACAGTATGTGCTGTTTACTTATAACTGATTTGGAAATATCAACATAATATAAATCTTAGGTCTTTGCACAGTGCCAGCCTAAATAAGCACATGGAGGAAATGGATCTTGAGTAGTTCGACAGTAAAGAAAATAAAATGCTAAAGGATAATGAAATCTTTGCATTTTAAAATTAAATGTAAAATCAAATACTGATCTCACACATAGGTGCCCGTGACTGGTGCGAGGCTCTGTGAATGCGGCCCGTGTTCTGGTTTTGTGTGGTTACGATCAGCTTCTTAGTCATACGGATTCTTAAACTTGGGTGTGAACAGTCAGTGAAGCGTAGATGATGAAAGGCTCGTCTGCTAAGTGATGGAGAAGAACGATCCGACTGCTTCCTTTTCTCCTCCGTGTGCAGCAGTTATACTCACAGTCACTTGGGGTCGGCTATGTGTGCACGCATGCATGCTGGTGCATACGTGTATGTCCTAAACAGTCAGTATAACCTGCGTAGAGGTTCACAGAATGTGCTAAAAGTTAAATAAGGATTAAGTAAACTTTATATTTACTATGAGATTTAATAGAGTTTTGAATTATTTGCTTACCGTGCTTACCGTGCCCAGGGCCCTGGGTTCCGTCCCCTTGTGCTGTTAGGAGCTGTGTTTTTCTCGCCTCACTTTCCTTAAGGGCTTCAGTAAGGGCCGAGTGCTTGGGGTTGCCTGAAGCCGTCCCTTGCGTGACAGTTTTTCCTTCCTTGCTAAATATCCCAGAACTACTTTATGAGAAAACATTTTAGTGTTTGAACGTGGTTCTATTTTGTTTGTATCTAATTCCCTTCACACTTAAGGGAATTAAGGGAGCATTTACATTTCTCCCTGTTAATAGCCTCTCATTTAAGCAAGGGCAGGAGCACTTGTCAGATAAGTCAGTAAGTACAAATAGGGACAGGAAGTAGAAAATAAGACACAATGCAGAGCGCCATGGGTGCAGTCCCGGAACATGTTCAAGTGTCCCAAGAGCGTGGAAGCTGTGTCTGAGGAGGCGACGCCTAGGCCGTTTGTGGGATTAGGAAATGAACTGGGGAAGATGTGGCTGACGATAGGGCGACTTCTAGGCAGAGACACGCTGAGCTCGCTGCGTCTGGGAAGTCAGAGCTGTTCCGCCGCAGGTGAAGTCAGATTTCATCTGGTGGCTGAACTATGCCCAAGGCCACCTTTGAGGTCATGCACATTGCTTTAGTATTTTAGGAGGACTTCATGTAATCACAATAATCTGATTGCCAATTTTATTTCATATAGTATTTTTTTAATTAGTAAGGGATTTGTTTATCTTTTATGTGACCTGAACTCTGCACATGAATCCAGAAGTGCTTGTGAAAGACCTAGGACGCCCAGCCTCCCTCCTGCCCCAGCTGTGTGCTGGAGTTCCCGTGTTCCTGGTTGTGACGGAAAGGGAAGTGTGAATGAAAAA